CTTTGAATGAGGTTTTCAATGAAGCAAGATCTCCAACTTCTACGATGTGATGGTTTTGTGCTCACTTTCTAGCTACCGAAATGGGAAATTTCGGAGAGGGTATAGTACGGCAGACGTACTAAGCTTCACAGCAGCAAGTGCATTTGTAAATGCACACTGATGATGTTTAGGGTATCAACGTTTTTCACGCAGTGATGAAGCAACTGTTAAAATGAGAACACAGTGTGGAAGTTTGAAGCATAGAATGGTGTACCGAGGGATGTTTTGTAAACACTAAGGAAGGATATTTGCAGTCATTTCGACTTTGAAAACGAGAATAACTCACAGTATTTCCTTCGAAGTTACACGAATCTGCTTCACAGTGTTCTTTTCATCCATGGTCTCCTATATGGATCTGAATGGGTAACTATGCTCTCCGAGGGCATCTAATTCTTGAAGAAGTGTGTCACTAGAGCATATCTTTATTATGCGTAGTGAGAGTAGGTGGATAAGGTTCCTAATCCTACCTAAAGGTACCTAACTTCGAAAGTTGGTCAGTTGCTTGTTCCCAAAAAAGCTTTCTGTAGATGGAAATTTAAGTGGAGTTTTCAGGTCTGCTTTGTCGCTTGGTGTTAAGAAAATGAAACATCGAGTCTGATGCAGTTTTGAGTGCAAATTTAAAGAAAAGGTGGTTGTTGTTGACATTTCGAAGGAGGTGTTTAAGGTCCATATTGTCATCACAAACATTGAAGATATCCTTGATGAAACTTCTGTATACATGGAGTTTGAAATAAGTAGTCCCTTTTATTAATTTGGATAATGTAATTAGAAGACACAGATTATCTGAAAAATGTGATGTATTAGCACTATACACTTCGAACAATCTGATCACACATTTACTTGTTAAGGCATTATATATGAAAACTGGAAGTGGCGGAAGGATAAATATGACATGAAGGAATTCAATGATAAGAAAGATAATGAGAGGAATAAAAGATAAGATTTGAAGACAATCTTGGTAATACAATAAAATAAGCATTACTAAGGTAGGCTTAATGTAAGGACAAACTGTTTTTGCACACACAATGGGGGGTAAAGTTTAATTATGGCTAGTGCCGCAACAAACTTAAGTATACGCCCCTGACAGTTTCGGTACAAAATTGTAAAGGCTGTCTTGATATCGATTCTGTGACTCTCATCTATGACGTGTTTCGCGATGGATGATGATGGTTGTCTGCCATTTACGCTTATCAATGTTTGTGAATCCAGCCGCTTTCGCAGCCACTTTGGAACATGTTCCCCTACCCTCAAGTGCATATCACGATTAGTCCTCCCTATGTATGTTTGTCCACACATAAATGTAAATTTATAAACGCAGTGGGATGTGACACAGTCGTTTATACAGCGTTGAGGTCTAGGTAGCAGCTTAGCTGCATAGTACGTTCTGCTAACAGCAGACCTTAACTTTCTTTTGAATATTATGCTGTTAGGTTCTACTCTGCATGGTAACGCGATGTAAACGCATTTTGTCGAAACAGAGTACAGATTAGGTGTGAATCCTCGCTGAGTTTTGCAGTGGTTTATGAACTTCAATGGATATCCATTTTCCACTAACGTTCCCGTTAGTATTTTGATATCACCATCCATTGAGCTTTCCCTTTTCTTCCACTAAGTGTGCAAAAAACAGTTTGTCCTTACATTACGCCTACCTTGGTAATGCCCATTTTATCGTATTACCAAGATTGTCTTCAAATCTTATCTTTTATTCCTCTCATTATCTTCCTTATCATTGAATTCCTTTGTCATATTTGTCCTCCCCCCACTTTCAGTTTTCATTAACAAGTAAATGTGTGATCAGATTGTTCGAAATGTATAGTGCTAATACATCACGTTTTTCAGATAATCTAAATGGAGTTTATCGATTTTTGGGAGGAATATACTAACCTCAAGGCTAATCACGAAATAGTCGACAAGTAGAGGTTCGAAAGAGAATCCCACTGCTACACCATTAATTTGTCTGTAAATTTAGCCAATAAATCTGAAGTGAACGTTACACTTACATACAAGAAGTTCGTTCATTTAGTGGTTTGGCAAGCGAACATTTAGATTTTTGAGGTGGATGGAGCTGCACAGCAAACAGATTGTTTGCGTTAATAGTGCGCATATAAATTGTGACACAATGTCTAATGACACCATTTTTCTTCTGGACCGACTTAGTAAACTCAAATATATCAGAAACATTGTATTTCAAGTGCACAAAGGTGGTCTCTCTCTTCTTTTAATATCGAGCATGACAAACTCCTAATATATCACACAATTTCAAAACGGCTCCTGCAAGAATCCTTGAACCTCCTAATGAAATCGCTTAGATATCACTTGATGCAGATAAATAGAGGTTTACAACAGAGGTATACATACTGTTAGCTAGAATCAGTACTAAGAAATTTAGAGACGACTTTAAACCTGAAAATGTCTATTACTGTTTGATTTGCTCGTGTGTGTGTATCTGTCTGCATCTCAAGCATTAACAGATAATATCTACTCATAAAGTGAAATACAGCTTTCCGGATTACTGTGTTGATGATCTAATTGATCAAAGGGTGTGAATTGTATATCTATGAAGATCTTATCACGTACATGGTTTTAATTTGGAATGTTTAGTTTTCGTTCTTCTACGTTAGATGATTTTGTAACATGATTCAGTGGTTGTTTGTATTTTTTACAGTGAATATTTACCAAGCTTCTACTTAATTAAAGAGCAAATTCTCTGTAGCTACTGGTTTTCTCTTGACAGAAAACCTATATTGGTCACATACTGGTTCAGCTATCGGTGCGACTTCACATTCAAGTTTGAAAATGTTTTCAAACTTTTTATGCTAAGGACTAAAATGCTTCTGTTTCATGTCCTCATTAGTCACATATTCGTTAAAATGGTATATCACGTAACAAACCTTGCGGCCAATGTAATCATAGTCTACTAGTCTACTAAATGTAAGAAATTAGATGAACGATTGCCAGTAGTGTTTCAGAACAGTTCCAGTGGATCATTAGTCAAATGAAATCTGGTTGTATCTGTTAAATAGGTAATTACACTTCGGTAACGAAACCTTAACCCATCGATTCTTACTCCTGATAATCATTCATTTTATCAGAATGTATTAGGGAGTTAGGAAGTGAAGATCAGAATCTTTCCAGTACTCTCTTGCATTCAAGAACTCATCTGCTGGCGTTAAATGATGACACGGATTTTCTCTACTACTCAAGCTCTAAGGGGAAGTTTCACATGTTGTTAAATGTTGAAATCATCCAAACTATTTGGCTAGCTGTTTGCTGATGATTCTACCAAGTACATCTCTGACAGATGCCGGATCCTAACAGTCAGTTGACACAAAACTCTACTCAACGAGCACTTCGTACTTGTTGGTACAAAAGTTATATTCTAAACTGCTGTGAGAATACCAGTTTCACTTTGCTACTTGTAATCATTTACCAACAGATATATTGGTTTCCCTCAATATAACCAAAAACTCAATGATAATTAATTTTTTTATAGTTTCCTCACTTATACAGTTTCACTGTTAGTATATGTATAATTTGGAAAACACCGGTCAACATTTGCAAAGCATATTTTTTCGTGAATGGTATAACTCATTGGTAAACTAACGTGTACCGATTGTTCTGCGTACGCTGAATATCCGCAACAAGCATACAAAGGGTCTTAAACGTCCAGATGAATAACCACATAAAATACATCTAGTTCAATTGAAGCATCAATTATTATTCCTTAGAAGCTAGTGATATGCTTTTGCACCGTTCAGTCTAAAAATAAACTACTACCTCAGACTGCAACATTTTTTCCAGAAAGCGGTGGGCAGAAATCTGAGTATGTATGGGATCTTTTTTGCACCTGCTAAAATGTAAGGTGATGCTTCAAGACTGGCCTGCAACTACTCTCAGCTTAATGATAGGGAGTGAACTGATTGAATATGTCGATCACCGCACTGACTTGTGGATTCAGATCAGCTCGAACAAGGTGGTTGGTAACGAAGTCTCAAGCTGAATACAGAAGACCCACTTGGCATTTGTCAACCTGGGTCACCTGTGATGCCGACTGGCGGGATATCAGACTATGTATCAAAATTCCAGTATACTGCACTGTGATCCGTTCTGTTTTGTTATACGTATGCTTAGTAAAAGTAAAAGACACGAATCTAATAGAAGGTTTTGATCACAGATGTCTTTGTCGTATTGCTAGCGTTTGGTCAAATCACCATACGACCAGTGTTGAGGTCAGGGGAAGGGTACTAGGAAAAATTGGCAAGTCGGTCGTTGTTAACCTTAATCGACTGAATTGGCTTGGACATGTGCTGCACATGCTGAGCCACCCCCTACCTTGACGTGCAGTGTTAGAGGAAGGTGGATTAAATCAAAATCTGGCACAGGTTGATGAAGCCTCTGACTGTTGGTCAGAGTCATGTGAGGAGCAGCAGACTGCCTGGTTGGGGTCTTGGGGACGAAAGAAATACATACTTGTAGACTCTTGGTGACATGGTTTTAAACTGGTCACAATGCTGCAGATGTACTCACTCCTCGCCATCTTCAGAAGCTTGAATATTTGCACTCACCTTTATCTTCTAATTGTTTATTATCTCACAAAACTCTGTCTACTTTGATATCACTCTTATTCTATCCATCTGTTCTTTGTACACTACTTCGAAGTCTGGCAACTTGATGGAATATGTTGGTGTACTCGATTCTAAGTTATCTTTCGGTCTTTTCATGCAATCAGAACTGTTCAAAGCTTGTACGAATCTATCAGTTATTGTAGTGACTATGAGGGCAGAGCATTCGAATTTTAATTCGCAAAACGCAAAGGTAATTTTATGAAATCCATGGGTGAGTGAATTTTAATTTATTATCAGGATCACTTGATTATCTCAGTAAGTGTTTTAGTTAGCTAACTAACATAATCTGTAATCGGATAATACTTTCATTTTTATCCCAAAATTGATGGTATATTCAAGCAGTGTACACATGTTCATATTGGTTGGTACTATCTGTAAAAAGAAACCAAGCTAAACTTGATCAAAACAATATTATGAATAGTATGCAAGTACAGGAGGTTTTTCTTTTCCAAACAGGGGGAATATGAATTAGTCTAGACAAAAATAATAAAAAATATAATGACGAAAATGATTCTGCATCACTGAACTTTTTCCTGCTGTTGTTATTAAGAAAAAAAGTTGAAAAATCAACAGTGAGTGATTAACAGGTGACAAACTTTGTACACAAAAACAAGAGAAGAGAAAATAACAGCAGTTTTGTAAGGATAATGAAGTTTATAAATATACAATAAAATTAAAACGGCAGTTGAACTCAGTCTTGTCTCTAGTCAGCCATGAGTTAGAAATTGGCTTAATAAAGACCAATTTTTTTCCAGTTTAACAATGTACTATGAAAGATGAGAATTATGAATAAAGTTGAAAACGTTTTCACCATAATTGTACGTTTATTTCCCTGTAAAATTTGACCGTGTACATTTCAACTTTCTACAGATGAGTACACGTATATCGGCTCGAAAATTTGGATTCATAAATCCATATATTATGGGATTAATAGCATTATTAATATAATATAAATAAAATATAGGTAAATATAATGGGACATATTGAATAGCCATTAACATGGCCGGTATAAATGTTACAATATAGACAACAGCGACAACAAATAACATGGCAGCAGTTTTCAAGTTTTGAAATGCAATATTATCTTTAATTGTTTTCATAGAACGACGTGTTTTCTCTTCACTAGCTAGAAGATGACTGTTACAGTTCAGTGGAACAGTATGTGTAATCTCTGTGTTCACTGGCTGTGCATCCACTGTCTTATTGTTTTCATGCAAATTAGGACTAAGATATTTCTTCAACAAATTCAATTGATCTGATTGGTTATCAGACTGTTGTTGTGTTTCTAGTGAAGTGGTTTTCTCATCCTCTTGTATTTCATTTTTAATAAGTATTTTTCCACAATCGAATTGTTGAATATTCTGTGAAGACTTTGATGGGAGTATTCTGTTGTTAACAGGTTCATCTGAATTAGGGAAGTTCTGTGACGTGACCAACTTGGAGCTGGAGAAATTGTACTTACTAGGTGGTGTCTTATCCCTCTGATTGGATGAAATTTTAAGTTTTCTCGTGAAAAAATACTTTTTCGCCTGTGGGGTGTTATTACTAACAAGACTGTTGTTATTGTTTTGAGCCCCGGTATTGTTGAAGTGCCGCTTATCGCCTTTTCTAACTCCTTTCAATTCCAAGCGTTTTTTAAAAACCTAAAAAATGAAAACAATAAGAAAAAACTGGTTACACCCCAAAGATTCTATTGCTGGATATGTGAATCTAATGAAATTATGATGCAGATATTTGAAAAGCTAACGAAACTGTTATTACGATGCAAGTGCTTAACAAATTGCTCAGTCCACGTTGGTGGTCCTCGAAGCTGAGTAGTTTTTCAACTACTTGACTTTAGCGTTTACAAAGTGTTTGTTGGAAACCATCTTGTAGCCAAGATCACAATGTGTAGTCTCTGACACAAAGGTTTCATGAAGTAGCCGAATATGCTACTATTTCTTTCAAAAAGAACTACCACTGATTTGTCTGAAGAAATCCACAGATCAGTCTGGGTGGTTTCTAATTACTCAAGTTGTTTAGTATTAGTATATTTCGCTCGTTCATAACACTTGTGTCAGAAATCACATATCGCGATCTTGGCTCAGCGGTGTGTAGCGGAAACCTTATCGAGACTACAGTTAGACAGTTGAAAAGAAGTACTCATCTGTGGGGACTGTTGACGTGTATCGTACTAGTCATTCAGAGATTGACCATCCTATTTCAGGCTTACTGGTCCATTGAATTCCGCCGCCTAAAATTCAGGTTACCTAAACTAATTCAGGTCTGTGAGCCAAATTTGCCGGGGTACACCGCTAATGAGCTTGGCGTCAAACGAGCGAAATGGCTGCCGAGTGATTGCAGCACTCTTATCTGGCTGCCGAAATATACAGACGAACCTGAGTGGTTTCTGTCTATTCAAGTTTTTTCAGTGGTAGTGATCTTTTATTATCCGTTGATATTACTGGAATTGCCTTTGGGGTGATGTGTGTTGCACAAGAGGTGGCCATCGTGCCCCAGTAGATTAGTTGGTAAGACTATGGCGTTTGAACTGAAAGATACTGGGTTCCAGCCTCAGTGGGAACAGCATCACTCATTGCGGTACAGGCACACCCAGCTGACTAGTCCCAAGTAGGACGAAACACGCTTCCTGGATTCCTCTATTGGTTACCAAGATCAACATGGAGCTGGTTTTGTCCTGTACAGACCTGTGAAGCACATATCAGCAACTACGTTTTTTAGACTACTTCAAATTTCAATTCATATGAACTAACTCTGAGAGTTGGCATGTTAAATAACATTTGCCTCATGAGAATTTCATGGTCAACTGGTTTTATCGGACAAGGGACTCATCACAAACCACTGACACGTGTTTCTGCAGGCAAATTTTTCAAAGTAACTGTTCAGTGAATCTACGTCATCAGTCTTCTTGTGAAAAAATGTGATTATGCGTAAAGAAGAAAGGGAGATCAAATACGTTTGATTGTTGAGATTTATATTGATTACTAGTGATCTAGTGATGACTAATCGTGTAAAATGCACTGAACTCAACAGATATGAGAAGATAGAGAAAATGGCAAATACCAACTAATCATCCAGTAAGCGTATAGCAGTAACCTATGAATAAGTTTAGATGACCATGAGATAAGTCACACCAGACTGGTCACACTTGTCACACTAGACATTCTTGGTTTCATTCCGTGTATTAATATTCAGGCTTTCTTAATATTATCTCCTGGTTGAAATTTCCAGGGGTACTTATAAGAGAAGTTTTACTTTGGCGTGCTTGGTGTTCATGCCTTTGATGAATAACCTAATGAGACAGAGCGAAGACAGCGTTAGTGACATGAAGTGAATGATTTTGACAAAATAAACCAAGTACTTCACAAGAATACGTTTGTATCGGAAAACAGCAGGTGAGTGAGTGCATGTACTGACCTAAGGTTGGTCTTGTATGTACGCTCTGTCTTTTCGTTCCACCTGATGTTTTCACTTGTATAATGATCCCTTGTAATTAAGTATCATCTTTGTCAGGTTATGAACTTGAGCCAATTCTCTTTCTAGAATCCTAACTACCATTACTATTTACCAGAGTTATAGATGTCGCCATTGGGTTTGTGGAGTTCAGAAAGCCTAGTATCTTCTGATGTCACAGGAAGCGAGTGACGAAGCTTTGTCTTCATGTTTAGTGATCCTAACTTTTCAAAAAAAAACTATCGAAATATAAACTTGAACAAAATGCCACTTGTTCATTTCCAGATTTCAATTTAGGCTATCCTTTACACTCATCTTTCAGGAAAATGATTGGTCAATGCACGCTAATTAACTAGTGAAGGTAATTATTACTTGCCATTGTGTTTGTAAGAGAATGATTGCATAAGTTACTTTCTTTTGTAAAGAAGAGCCTGTTAATACGTGTTTTTTGTTGGAATGTCAGCAAAATATCAAGACACTATAATAACTGGATATATTCTCTTATCGTCTCAGCCGTGAGACAGTGGATTCAAACGTATTAATTCTATTCAAATTAAGTATCGATATTATTTGGGGTATAATCCACATAGACTGTAGGGAGAAGGGTAAAATTCGTGTTCTAATAACCTCAGGCATGAAATTTAAGTGTTTTTGTGTCCTGTTTTGGAATACAATTATTAACTTATAATTAACAGTAATTAGAAGCAATCCCCATCTGAAGAACACAAATCATTATGACTATTATGTGTATCAAACCTTTGTACAACTCGTGCCCTTGACTTGAATTACTCAAATAAACTGTAATGACACAAACTCACGTAAACTAAACGGTCGCAATATCAGTCACTATAGTGTATAGGTAAATATCCAATGGCATCGTAATGAGACACTTAATTGTCAAATGGATTTGAAGTGTAGGTAGTACATGAACATAAATCATAGAATCGAATATGATCAATTGGATTTTAACGTTAACGTGTTCGCTACAAAGTTAGCAGTCCCCTAGTTCAATTCCGATCACCTGTCTCGTGCTTCATCTTTTCTACTGGCTCTCTAGCTCATCTCACAGTATGTGATGAAAGCTCCTTCAAACCCAGTCAAGTCTCTACAAAACTTTAAGCTGCACATGAAAAGCGTTTACTGAATAAACGATAGAAGTTTTGTAAGGTCCACAGTCTTGGTATATCAGCTGATCCCAGTCGGTATTTACTAGTGGTTGTTTAGTGTTAGTCACTAGTTCAAAACGGTTATCAACTTCAGAATTTAACTGTATTCAGTGACCTATCCATTCAGTCTAGCAACAATGGAAAACTACAAGAAAGAAAATCATACTACACTTGTCGTACAGTGACTGACTAAAGTAACACAGTAGCCTAGTTAATCATGTTGTGATGTTTGAAAAGATAAATTCTGGATTCATATCTCAGTAACATCAACATCAGTTGCTGGGGCCCAGGTGGATCTAACCAGAAAAACTCGGATATGATGAAACACGCTTCTTTGTGTTCACTGCCAATCACGATCCATTGCTAGCATCTGTTTTCATTTGGTTGATCTACGGGAAATCGATCGGCATAACCACAGTCTTCATCATAAATCATCAGGAATACCTCATCAGTAAACGTGCACCTTATCGTGGAGAATATAGCCTAGTGTAAATGAGCTGTTTGGTGCACACTAGTTACTAATGACTACTGATTTATTATTCATATAAATAATTGGTCTTGTTTAGTTCTTTCTAACTTTCAGTGATTCTCAAACTGATAGTAAACAGCGATTAGAAATGAATTGTAGTTTGTATGCATACCGAGGTCATCTGTTATCCTTAATGATAAAAAGACACAAGATGGAATGAGAACTCCGTCGACTCCGGGTGTAATTAGTGCCAATACAGAATAGTACTAGAGCAGTTTAAATAAACAGATATGTAATGTTAGTTTTTATTGTGCTAGGTGGACATTTCACCACAGTTTCGTGCGATACCGCTGTTAGAACAATCATTTAAAGAGCTTGCTGATTATTTTGAAGATGACGGAATTATACAGCCTACCTACAAATAGTGTCTTACAACTTTATTAAGTTTGGTAGGATTATTGAGCATTTTTCGCTCCTGTGATTAGCACAAATTTACATATAATTAGCTTAATCAACCTACGGTTATCGCAGAAATTCACACCATCTTCAAGACATATATAAACTTGTATTATTAACCATGTGCCTGTTGAAAATTCAACCTGAGATCTATAACTTAAAGAGCCAAAGATGATGGGTATGTTGTTCAATCCCTACTGAGATCCACATCACTCTCTAGGAACAAAGTATATTCGATTGACAAGCGCACAAAGTCTACTAAATGTGCTTTCTTGATCTCTTTTCTAGCCAGTAACAAACAAATAACATTGGAATGATGCTGCTATACATGTAGGCACATATTTCAACATGAGCTAACCGACTCAGTGTAATGAAATGAATCAACAAGGAGAAATCAAAAAACCAACGTTACATCTGTTTCTTCCATTATATGAAACATAATATATCATCTCTTAATATACAGGTAACCATTAATAATCACTAGACCAGCGTTAATTTAAGTGTATTTAGGGAATAGTTACGAAACCGTTAACACTATTACTGTTAGAAGTAATTTTCATTTGTAACTATCCCTTCTATTAAATAAACTCATATATTGAACGTTGAATTCAAATAGCACTTGATATATGTTCCTCCGTTTTTAACAAATATGCACGGATTGTATACAGCATGTTTTTCGTTTATCATTGAATGTAGAAACAGAGAAGAAATCTATAAAATCCTCATACTAATGATAAAAGATAAGGTTGGAATGGAAATCCACCACTTGATATATTATAATCTCAAGGTTTTCTGAATTCATGTAATTTACAGGTTATTAGACGTTATTCAAGTGTTCTCAAATTTTGTGAAGTGGTCAGTGGACAGGGAGAAAACTCCAAGCAAATATTTATGAGTAGGGTACATTGTATGTTCTCAAACAACCTTTTGAAAAATCCTCCCCTTATGAGTTTTGCATTCTAATTCATTATGAAGAGTGGTTGGTCATACATGATGTCAGAGCAGAAATCTCCGCTGCTTATCAATAAGAAGTCAGTTTGAAGGATAAAATTAAGGGTTATCGTGCCTTGAAAATATCTACCAAACAATCAGTTCTTAT